GAGTGGCTGGGAAGTTCCTGGCAGGAAAGGGACCCGGGATTGCTGGTGGAGAGCCAGCTGAACATGAGCCAGCAGTGTGCCCAGGTGGCCAAGAAGGCCAACAGCACCCTGGCCTGTAAAAATAGTGTGGCCAGCAGGAGCAGGGAGGTGATCGTGCCCCTGGACTCGGCACTGGTGAGACTCGTGAGTTCAAAAAATGAGCAGATATAGCACTTGAGGCTATGGTCTAGTGGTTAGGGGAATGTTGGGAGGAAGGTTGGACTTGGTGATCCTGGAGGTCCTTTCTACTCTGAGATTCTCTCTTGTGCTTTAAGTAGCATATTTAGATGCTACCAGAGAAATGAACATTGCACAATTTTATTTCTAGATTCTAAACTTGCAGTCAAGTTTAAAGACCTAACAAAAAGACATATGCTAAAACAATCATTAAAAAAAAACAAGTTTCCACATGAAGCAGCAACATCATTATTTCTCATTAGCTGTACCTTCAAAAACAGCTTTATTGGATAATCCCAAAGCTGGCACAGTTGCACCTTCTGGAAGATCAGATGATTGCTGAATTTAGAAAAGAGAAAAAAAAAAGTTACTCACAGATTTTCATGTAGCTTCAGATTTCAAAGGCCACAGTTAAATGAATCCCTGTGATAAAAAGAGTGACTTTTCTAGAGAAGTGAAGGGGGACACTTTAAAAGCTCCCAACTCATCCAGAACATTCCCTGGACAAAACAAAGACCAGTACTCTGCCAGGGAAGGAAAAAAAAAGGAAAAAAAGAACAAAAACTTTTCCAAGGCCTCAGCTCAAGGACTTTGTTATACAGCATGCATCTTAATCCCCAATTAAAGGTTTTCCTTCCACAATTTTATTTATTCTAGCATATACATGGTAAGTAATCAACTGAAGCATACTACTAGGAAAAACCAGCACAGATTCACCAAGGGCAAGCCGTCCTGGACAAACCTGATTACCTCTTCTGACAAAGTGGCCTGCTCAGTTGATGCAGGGCAAGCAGTGGACATTGTCTACCTGGATTTCTCCAAGGCTTCTGATACAGTTCCCCACAGGTTCTTCCCCAGTTGATGTGTTACAGTCTAGACAAGTGGTGTGCGTGGTGGGTGAGGAGCTGCCTGACAGGCCACACCCAGAGGGTGATGGTAAAGGGCTCCTTTTCAAATTGGCAACTGCCACAAGTGGGGTCTCCCAGGGATTGATATTGATCCCAATGTCTGTTTATTATCTTCACAAGTGAGCTGGATGAGGGGATCAAGTGTACCCTCACTAAGTCTGATGACGGTACCAAACTGAGTGGGGAAGTGAACACTTTGGAATTGAGACCTACCCTGCAGAAAGACCTGGGCAGGCTGGAAGAGGGGGCTAACAAGAACCTGATGAAGTTCAACAAGGGCAAGTGTAAGGTCTTGCACCTGGGAAAACATAATCCACGAGTGTAGCGCAGACTGGGATCTACTTGGCTGGAGAGCAGCTCCATGGAAAAGGACCTGGGTGTCCTGGTGGACCACAAGCTCAACACGAGTGAACAGTGTGCTGCTGCTGTGGCAAAGAAAGCCAACAGGATGCCAGGTTCCATCAACAAAAGCATCACCAGCAGAGATTTAAAAACATCATTAACCCACTCCACTTAGTGCTTGTGAGGTCACACCTTGAATACTGGGTCCACAGTTTTGGTCCCTGCTACAAAAAAAAAAAAAAAAAAAAAAAATTGTGGACAGGTTGGAGAGGGCCAAGACATGGGCCACAAAGTTATCCAAGGACTGGGAAGCCGCCATATGAGGAAAGGTTGACAGAACTGGGTTTGTTCAGCCTTCAGAAAAAGACAGCTTAGGGAAGACCTTATCACCATGTTCCAGTATTTAAAATGTGGCTACAAAGAAGATAGATGCTCCAGTTACACAAGGAGTCACATGAGAAAGATGAGGGGAAATGGGTGCAAGTTACTCCTCCTGGGGAGATTGTGACTGGGACACCAGAGGAAAATTTTTCACAACGAGAACAATCAGCCACTGGAATAATCTCCCCAGGGAAGTGGTGGATTCTACAGCACTTTTAAGAGTCATCTGGACAGGGTGCTGGGCCATCTTGTCTCAACCATGCTTTTGCCAAGACAGGTTGGACCAAATCATCCTTGTGGTCCCTTCCAACCTGACATTCCCCAGTTCCATGACTGAACTGAGAGCACTGCAGTTTTTAACACAACAGGACCGGGAAACAGTCTGTTCCAAGGTGAAATAACAAAGCAGCATTTTGGAAAAGGGCAGAGGGTGAGTGTCTGTGCCCACAACTTCAAACACAACCCAATGCAAGCACAGAGATGTGGCTGGAGTACACAGCTGTTTGGAGCAGCACAGAGGAAACACATATCAGACAGAAAATACTTCCATAAAGGTACAAGGGAAAAAGCCAAAATTTAAACAGGGTAAGTGAACTTGAGCGTTCTGTGGAAATTGAAAAAGATATTAATTTTAATAGCTATAAAATTCCTTCCTTATGGTGTCTGGAAAGTTAAAAGAAAGCCTTTTTTACAAAACTGCATTGATAATTTAGGTGATAGCTTAAAATATTTTGTTATTTATTTAGATGTTGATAATTTGATGAGAAAAATGCATGTGACACATACACTAGTCTAAGGCATCTAAACCAAAGAGTTCCTCATTATAACCCAAAGTATAATACAATCCCATGGATTTGAACTGTATTGTATATGTCGTATTCAATCCCTTCGGAATATAAAGCTGGCTTTTTTGGTTTTCAGTATTTTTGGTGGAAGGCATTTGAGCTATATTAAGAAAAAGCTTACCCAGTTGAATGAAAAAGCATTCACAGAAAACAGTTTCAATAAAGCTATTTAAGAGTACCTGTATCATGACAGTTTATTAAGCCTTCCTCTTTAAGCAAAGCTCACAAGAAACACTGCGTGATATCATGGATCAAAAAAACAGCACTAAGAGGAAGAGCTGATAAGGAAAGTCTACATAAAAGTAGATTAATGATATCTGCCAGCATTATAAAAGCACAATGTTATTCATATAATAACATTAATGCAATTGCTTATAAAGTCTTACAGAATTAAAGTACTAAATAGCTACTCACATAACTTCTTGCTCAACCCCTCCCCCCCCGCCCCGATTTCTCTCTCAGATATTTCTACTGTTACATGAAATGGAAAGGCTAATCCACCTCTGAAGCTGCACAGAAAACAATGCTTTAGAGCCAGAAATTCAAAGAAGATGCAAGGCACTGTTCAGAGGCAACTATCCTGAATGAGGGCTGCTCTACAAAACAGTGAAAACCAGAATTAGATCTTAAAGCAAAAGGGGAGCAAAGGACAGCAACTCTGCAATCTTATCTTTCCACACAGTAGGAAGGTATGCTTATCAACAGCTAAGAACTGGAATGTAAAGGTCTCGAGAAAATTTTCCAATGCCAAGAGGAAACAAAGCATGAGCAAGTACATATTTATAAATATTTATATGTAGCAGCTAACAGTGCCGAAAGCTTTACGCTATTTCCAAAACAATCAATTAAAAAAACCACCACCACACAACAATAATTAAGGGTGTAGTAGTCTTGTCTAGATGTAAATTAAGGAGCAGCACATTCCCAGGCTTTATTGTTTGCTTTCCAGTCACCAAGCGTATACCATAGCCTACCTGGTCTCACTTATTTAAAATCTACCCATACTCTTCGCAATCTTCAGACACTAGGTCTTGTTCAGTTTCAAATGCAATTGTTTTATAAGACAATACCATAAAAATATGTATGAAACGACACCCATAGAAGCAAATAGAAGGGGAAGGAAAAGCAAGGTTAAGGTTTCAGAACTATTAAAATATATTTTATGAAGTTTAGTGCAATTTGACATTTTCTAAAGCTTTAATTTTATTTATGTGAAGGAGGACCATCTTCACGTAGCATTGCTTCAGCACACTTACGTGGGAGCACAGCTTCTCCATTGGAACACCAGTGATGTTACTGAAATTTTCTATGAAGTTCCTGGGAGCCCGGAAAACTCGGAGCACCTTCTCATCTGCTCCCGACACGAACTGGAAGCGGCCGAGCGTGGCCAGGCAGCGCATGTCGTACCCGTGCACCTGAGGCCTGGCAAGCTCGTGCCAGCTCACCTAAGGAACAGACAGGCACTCACAACACATGGCAAGATTCTGACTTCCAAAAAATTACTAATACTTTACTTGCTGCCGTTTGCAACCTGTGTTAAGTGTACACTGCACTTACTGTAACCCTACGCTAGACAGTCAGGAGCAGGACGTCACTTGCTTCAGCAAAAGGAGGATTGTACTCTACTGACTACTTTCAAAACTAGCTCTGAAAGAGTTAAGAATGATAGTGATAATTACTTTGCTTCCTTCATCTGCCCTTCTCAAAGCACAGCAGCACTGCTGTCAGTAGGCTACAGGTTCCTACTTCCCTCCCTTTCTTTAAATACTTATTTTAGGGAGACCATTTAATAGAAGCTTTATAAAAAGCTGACAAAACCAAAATAGCTTCTTATAGGAAAAACATCTGCAAATATATTCATATCCACACTTCTAGTATTAATCCAAGAAAACCAGGATTAGCAGCTAACCAGAAATTAGAGAGACAAGTTAGTTTTATATAAGTCACACTAAGCAAAGAAAATTAGCAAAAAAAAAAATTCATTATTTTAATTGCTTTTCCAAAACTAATTTATTCTACACATGAAAAAATTGATTCTTGGAGAAAAAAAAAAAAAAAAAAAAAAAAGCAAACCCTTGATTTCTAGCAAATACACTTTCAGGAAAAGATTTCTAGTAAGTGTCATTTGCTACTAGTCTTACATGATACTTCAGTTGGAACAATCAGTGTGCACTTTTGAGTTAACAGCTAGCGGAATTAATTGCATCAATTAGAATTAATTTACTTCAGTATTACAATACATGGAAAACTGCACCCAAAACAGAATTTACATTATACCAGCTGTCATGCAAACACATAAGGAAAGCCATTATGTTGACTGCAAACTACCTATATCACACTAAAATTTCAATTTCAAACATGGAAGGTTCTGATAAAACCTGGATGGGATTTGAGAGATCCTACAAAATTTTATGTTTTTGTAAGAGCTTTGATTAATTTCCAATGAGAAAGAAGTATTAATTTTTTGAAAACAAAAACTAAACAAGCAAACACTGCCATAAAACTTTCTTACCCTTCACTAGGCTTCTTTGCATACTTTAAAACACAGTACATATAGGAACACAAAAAAAGCCAACCAACCAAAAAAAAACCCACCACAAAAAAAAAACACCCAAATCCCAAACCTCAAAACAGACAGAGAGAGGGCTGTAAGAGCTCATGCAATGAGCTTCCTCCAAAAACATCAGGGTGCGAATCTGCATGACAAGTTGAAGCTGATTGTTACCCTAATTCCTGATATTTGAACTCTCTATATCAGAATTGAGACTTTGAGAAGGGATAATTATCTGCATTTAGCAGTTCTGGTTTTATAGAGGAAAAACATGAATATTGAGCTGTAATACCAACTATTCACAGAACCATCTTGTTAAGACAAACATCAGATGTCACCTGTTGTAATTCTTCAGGTGCTAAATTCAGTGTGAGTTTATCCTGTTATCTAAGTTTATGAGGAGCAGAACAAAGCACCTGGCTTGCAGGGCTCAGAAGTCCTGAACACATCCCTTCCAATGACCCACTTTTATCTCAGCCCTCCACCTTGCCCACCGACAGGACACCAGAGCTGTCTCCCACACCCCATTCAGCAACAAGGTGTTGACACCACTTGGACTGGTCCAACCAGGCAGGTGGCTGCTCTGCATCAGAGGAGGAAGGGGAAGTACAGGAATTCACACCAAACTTAGATATGAAGGCTGCAATCATTCTGCTAAATCAATTAAGTAAGAAGTTTCAGGGACAGCAGGAACAGCTCTACAGGTAAATCATAGAAAGCTCAATTCTTTCAGAAAATAAGATAAAAATTTAGCAAGCAGCATAACAATGAAGAGTGGTACTGCTCTATGTGGCAGAGAACACTATATTGACTACTCCTTGGAATGGTGCCAACTTCCATCCATGCTAGTCCTGGACTTTGTTTCCAGATGTCAAATCCAACATGCTATCTTTTCCATAGACCTGTCTACCCTCCAGATAGGAGACTGGAGGAAGAGAAAGGGAAGGAAACTGGAGGTGCTCTTCCTACAACACAAGGCAAAGCTTAGCACTTGAGTGGTAGCTGCCACAACTTCTACGTGGCCTGGAATAGGGAAATCAAGGAACTGCTACCAAATTCACTCTCCCAAAAACAGGAGACATCCTGTGCTGGTCTACACTACAGAAGCTTTGATGAGACAGTTAATAGCCACACTTTGCCTCCTACAGCTAACAGCACAGCTTGCACAGGGCCTTACATGAGCCTTTCAATCTGTCTAGTTTTTGCCAGTTACCTGAATGAAACATTAGTACAGTACTACCACAGAAAGATGTATTTGTAGATGAGGAAAATGCATCAGCAACTAGGAACAGGAGCTTCTGCGTTCATGGGGAGGGTTTCCCACACCAAAATTTAGACTTATTTTGAGACACATCAAGTTATTCAGGAATAATTCTTCCTGAAAAATTGCTAGTACAGGATACCAGCTGCACTCATGCAGTTCAGATAATCATTCTGGTAAAACAGTCACAATCACACAAAATAGTGTAAAAATATATGGTGAGAACTTAGCTTAGATTAAACTTGTGTAAAAAAACAAAGCCACGGTTGAGGTTCTCCGTGATTACCTGCAGCAGTGGTTAGCCAAGGATTAAAAAAGGACAACAGATGGTTATTAGAATCTGCCATATATTCCTCCTCCTGAGTTACTACACAGCCTGGTTTTTAAGACTCTGGAAGAACACTTAATGAAGGTAACTCAGGATTAAACAAACAATAGTCATGTTATGTGATTGCTAAAAACTCCTGTCACCAGTATTTTTAAAGTGAAAACAGCACATACTGAATGACCAAACCAGGCATTTACACAAGCAGTTTTGAACAGATCAAGGCTTGGGGAAATTCAGCATATAAGTGACACTCAGGTGACTTATTCTGATGTCAGAACAGACAAGCCCTCTTTAAAAAGTTCACAAAATTTTGTATATTGTACCTCTGTCTCTTGTTTTCTTTTCCATGGAGCGAAGAGTCTAGTAGTTTGATCAGCACCAACACTGATGATAAACTCTCCTTCTGGGTCCCACTTTACATCTTCAACACTGTTAAAATGTCCTGAAATCACAACTTCTGGAGTCCACTCTTTCTGTCAAAACAGTCACGAAAGAAGCAAGTTTTCAGGTTGAAGAAGTTTCCAATTGACTGAATGGCATATTCTAACCAAAAGAACAGTATCAGCATCCTTATTAAGAAAAAAAAAAAAAGACATTTAAACACAGCAAATTATTAGAACTCAGACTGGCCAAAGAGACACAAATATTGATGTATTGCTCCAATCTAAAGGAAACTTGTGGTTTTGGTCCAGCTGCCACTTCTGAACAAAGTACAACCACAAAGGAGTTCAGTCTATTCCACTGACTTTATGGTTCTCACAGGGAAGAAACAGGTTTTAGAGCCTGGGAGATTGCAAACTCCTGCAGTAGCAAGACTCCTATAGAATGTTATATTCTGAGAAGGACTATTTTAATCATTTATTGTAAATTGTACTGTTACACTTTTCTATTAACAACAGAACTTACCTCAAGAGACATATAAGTGTAATTCTTTTAAGTACTACTACTACTAATAAAGGCCAACTTACCTTATTAACTTCATCCTGTTTCCAAAGGTGTAGTGCTCCATGAAAAGCATGAGCAATGATCATTGAACCATCTGGACTAAACTGGCAGTCAAAAAATCCAAGGGTGTTGCCACCCACTTCACCTACCCGCACCTGAATTAACGATCAGAAGTGAAATATCCATGAAAACAGTTTTCCATTCACATAAACTCATCCAAGTCTCATGAGATGAAAAATTAGCTGTAGGCAACAGTTCACATTACACACAAAACACATTTCAAGAATATTTTAATTGCGAAGTTAAGCACTAAAATGTCACGGGAATTAAAGCTGCATGCCACTTTAATGAAACCTCCCTTTAAACCCCTCAGAACAGGATCTTGTTCAATCACCCAGGGGAAAGCCAACACTACACTAGATGAGATGAGAACAAAATCTATGTTTCAGTCCAGGCTGTTGGATGCAACAGTGTCTTGTCATCTGGTGCTTTCCTGTTCTCTGTTGCACAAGATTTAAAAAAGGTTCAAAGGAAAAGTGGTTCACCATTCTTTTTTTCTTGATTACCAATATTCACTATCATATGTCCACGTCCCTCTTTCTCCATGAATCTCTGCAACTTGCTCCACACTCCTCCTGTGGCATATTTTGTGTGCATGCATGTGTGCACACACAGAGGCATTATAGTTGCTCTAGTGGCCTTCCAAGTTTTTAATTACATTAGATTATTAAAGTTACATTTTCAAGTGCTATTCAAGAGATAAGAACACAATTCCTTTCACACTGAACTCTAAACAATTCCCCCACTACTACGCAGCTGCTTTTAAGATCACAATGAAATTAACCAATACCTCATTCCAAATGACAGCATGGACCAGTATGTCCATTTTATTAGCACTCATTCCAAAAAATACTGCTCACATGGAAGTGACTTCGATACACCATGCTAGAGGCAGAATCCTAGTCTCACCTCTGAGCAGGTGCACCATTTTGTGAAGACTTCTTGTTCATCATACCAAATTGGAAGAGAGAGAAACTAGGATGTTCCCCTTGCAGCCTTCCTCCTTGCAGGCCTCCAGCTTAGATTTCCCTCTCTCAATGCAAAAAATAGGATTGTTGCAGTTAAAATGTCTCATTCGAACTTCAAGCTTCACATTTGCAAATGGAACATACAAAGAAAGAGTAACAACTTGCAACAAGCTTGACTGCACAACTGATTTTTAGATGCTTGTAAATTTAGCACTTTTCAAAGGAACAGAGGAAGAAATAAATCCACCTACTGTAATTCTCTTTTTTCTCCCAAGAGAGAATTAGAACTTTCTTTGTGGCAGGAAAGACCATAAACAATGGTTGGCATAACCCAACACAAACAATTTCAGCTGAACTATTGCAATTTGAAAAAGCAGGTCAACTGAAAACAAAGACATCTACCAAAGCACTAGATAAATTTGGTTGTACCATTTGTTTATTTAGGCTGATCCCCATTAGAACAGCATTCAAAATATTGTAGTACAACATGAGTATCCAGCTCAAAGGGAAGAAAAACTCTAATGACACAGCCCATGAACAAGTTACTGAGAGTAAAACGACGTTTGTGAATTGCATGTCAGCTGCTCTGTAGTAACTGCTTGGGTGCAGGTTCCCACAGGGATCAAGTACAAATAATTCAGGATGGTTTCTTCCTCTTCTTACCAGAACACAGTGGGTGTTACTATTCAGCACCTAGCTTGCTATACTTTGAATATGAGCATAAATTCCCCTCAGAAATTCCCCAATATTGTAATAAAAAAGCAAACAAGCAATAAAAATCATACTGCATCACATAATTTTTGGAAAATGTAGTTTTACCTGCAACACAGCATCAGAATGAGTATTTTTGCAAGAAAATGCTTTTGCCGCCCTCTCCCAGCATTTTATAGTTTTTGTTACCCCCAGTACACACATGATGGTGGAAATACAACTTGGATACAGTACGTTTTGTGAGAGACTGACACTTGCCTGTTCTAGCCAGACTCCAGACTCCTTATCAGGTTCCCAGATGATCACAGTTTTGTCCATTGATGCAGACAATATCCTCATTGGTTGTTGCATGCTGCCATCTACAGTAGAAGGAGAACGGTTACCCTACACCCCAGGAGAATACTTTCTAAAAGAATTTGGTCATACAGAATCCAAACACACTAAGAAAATGGTTCAGAGTCAGAGATGAGCAATGAAGGACTTGAGTGCCAGATTTAACAGGCTCTACATTCTTACTGGGTGTTCATTAGGAGATGGTGTATTTTTCAGCCATAATCTCTCAAAGGAAATGTGAAACACCTCCATGAGAACAACCGTGTTCTACTGTTTATTCACTCCAAACTGACACTGAAACAAGTGTTCTTCGGCAGGAAAGAGCTTCGCAGAGAGACTGCAGAGCAGTTCACAGCCTGTTCCTTAAGTCAGTTTTTACAGAGAGATTGTCAGTTTAAATAATTTCTATTCCAGTATTCACTGTATTTTTTTCCAAATAGTTAGATCTGTTATGGAATTCAATAGACTCTAACACCTTGTAATACACACAGCAATAAGGACTGCTCCCCAAAATGCAGTGAAGCACTCCCCAGATAACCACCCAACACAGACAGAATGGAAAAGAGGGAACTGGTTCATCACCCAGTTGGGAAACTCCCAGAAGTGCTGTGGAATCTTTTCTGAGACTAGAGACAACGGTGGGCATCTCTTAAGGCAGGATCTTATGTCACACCAAACTTCTGCCTCTGCTGAAGAAGAAAATCTAATTTTGGAGAACAAAAGACTGGGCAGGCCACAGAACATCAGCAGGTAGAAGCATGATGTCAGACACCTGGAAAACTCCATGGTCTATCAGGACAGTTTTTCAGACTGCAGTGCAATGCTTGCTTGCCTTTCGTCTAAACCTTGCTCTAACAGGCAATATCTTTTATTAGTGTTTAAAAAAAAAAAGTGAAAGAATAGATAACTAAGATATTTCAAGTAAGTCTTGTGTCCTTAACTACACATATTTTGACATTCTAATTGCACTCTATTGTTCAAGTGTTGCATATATACTGGAAAAAAGCTGTGCTTTGTACTGGTGAAGTCACCTGCCATCGGTTACTCTAAAACATCTCAGAAAAAAAGGCACCTTTGCCAATACAAATAGACAAGAGCATTCTGATGATGCAAGCATGTCAAATCAAGAATGTCCTTCTGTTCCACTCCAGGCAGACACACATCAGCAAATCAGTACCACAAACGAAGCTGTCAGAATTTAAGGATTTAAAAAGAAAGATAGAAGACTAGGACGTGATGCAAAATTAAACTGTAAATAACATATTTTTTCAAAGCGAGTCTGCAGTAATGCCTTAAAGGTACATGCTAGCTAAAGAAAAGTGATATTCAAGGAATCCCTGGCATATTATATTAACATATGGATGACTGAAGATTAATCTCCTGAATGTTCCTATTTGTTCATTTCTAGTCCAGGAAAAAGAAGGCGTGACCTTTAGTTAATGCTGACCTTCCAAAGAACAGATGTTTCAAATTCATACCAATTAAACTGTTTTTTATTCCACAAACAGCAAATCAATTACAATAAAGCCAGTACAGCTCAGTTATTTTATTTCATTTTTTAAACAAAACACAGGTAAGAGGGAGCATCATGCAATACGTGATGACAGGTAGAGCATGTGTCTTAAGATGTCCTGCTGTGGCACATTCAGCCAAAACATTCATTTGCTTATAAAACATCATTTGCAGAGTTTAAACATTTCCATAGTCCACACTGAAAACTGAACACACAAACAAAATACAAAGCCAGGTGACCGTATACAGCACTTAACATAACCGCTAAGTGCTTGGTATCTTTTTACCTTTGGAAAATGAAGGTTGCCAGTGAACTGCATACACCCAGTTTTCATGACCAGCCAACACAGATTCCAAAGTAATCGCATATGTTGTGTCAGTATCTATCACAAACCAGAGAAAACCACATTTCTTTCTAAAAGCCAAGAAAGTGCAAGTAAATTGTGATATCTTCAGTGAAAAAAAAATATCAACTGCTTTCATCATCCCTGGATATCTCAATAGGCTATTGACACTGAACATGTGTAAGCCTGCACATCTCTGTTATACACAGTATTTTTCTAAGGTTTAACTAACAGTAGCATCTCCTAATGCCCTGAATTCAGAAGAAAATTAAAGGCATGTTATTAAGCTGGAGGAGGACTGCACAACAGCTTACCTCCCACAGACAAATAGATCTCATGACTATGCTCTGCATCTGCAATACATGTAACAATGCAGGTTGATATTGAGTTCTCTCACTCCTTTACCATTTTTTTGTTACACATAATTAACTTTACATAGTCACTAAAACAGTAACTCCACTTTTTCTAACAGCTGAATAAAAATAATGCAGTCAAACTGGTCTCAGATTTTTTTAATAGAAGAAACAAAACAGATTAATCATAACTACCTTGTTAGCCACCCTGAAAGCACAGATACACAAGTGAAGTTGTGCAAGAAAATTTTACAGCTGTTACCTACCTTTGAGAGTGAAAACATTCTCTTTCAGTCTTATAGAATCATCTTCAGTGTCTGGCATTTGCTTTGATTTTGTACATACTTTCCAGATTCTTATCAAACAATCCTGAGCACAGCTTGCTAAGAAAAGGTTTTCACCTATTGGTTTGAAATAAAACATAACAAAACAAAAGATAACTGGAGGTGTGTTTTTCTTGCAACCACTGCCGTGACTAACCTACCATCTTTCCAAACATACTACAGCAGTATCCTAATTTTTCCTTTTGAGCATAGTATCATAAATTCTTGGTTTATTGCAACATCAGCTTACTTGCCCATTTCAAACTCTCCACCAGTGTAGAACACACTGACTATGGACATTTTTCTGTTTATAAGAAATGGAAGACATTGTAAGTACTGTACATATTGTACATATACTTCCTTATTACCTGTGGCCTTCACTCTAAAAGTGCTGCAAGCCTCAAAACTCTTCAATAATTCCATTCCTGCTTTTCTTTCTCAAGACTGTAGCATCCTCTAATTCCTTCTATTTTCTTTTTGTCATTGCAAAAACTATTAATTAGTTAACATCTGAAGAAATTCTTCTCTTAATCTACTATTCTTACCAAAAAAAAAAAGAGGAGGGAGGGAGGATAAAAGTACTATTTCCCCCTACTTCCCCCCTTTGAAAAAGCAGCGAACTTGCCCTCACACAGATATAGACATTTGCCTACTGAAAATGGCATATTGCTGAAACTCTTATCTGTTTTAGCTATGAGTCAGGTAAACATACTAGAAGACAGACAAAATGAAGCATGCAGACACAAGGTATGAGCGTCCTCTACCAATCCTCCTGTAGCCATAACTTTGGTAACTACAATATAACTGTAGCGTAGGTTCAGTGATTTTAACAGGACATTAAGTTGTACCTTTTTTCCAAATGTTTGTACTACCATCTCAGAAAAAAATTCACAATCACAAGACCTACAATGCATCAAAAGCATTTGTTGGAGGGGGAAAACAGCAGCACTGTCACTAAACGAGTGTTCTACTTTATTCATCTGTCATACTGACCACAGACTGCCCATTCAACGCCTCTTATCCAATCTTCATGACCAGGGAGTAACAATGTTTTCTGAAACTGAATAAAAACTTCCTGTTACATCACAGAAATGCACTTAATTACCATGCACATATGAGAAATTAGCTTTGCATTTAACTCTTTTATGTTTACAGCTTTCATTATTTGAAATTGGAAAAATAAGCTATCACTAAGTACTGTAATTTATTGACAGATTGCAAACAGACCCTTTTGGTTTTGCCACCACTGGGTGAACACGTCACACTATGTCACTTTCCATAAATGAGCAGGAAAAAGAATTTAAGGTGCTCACCTTCAAGAGGCTACAGTCTCTCTATAGTATAGCTGAATTTTTTTTAAATTTATTAGGCTTATGGGGTACACAAAGAACAACATAATGTAGGTATAACATAATAAATAATTTATATTACATGTGTGAAGTAGTGCAGTTGCAACTGCAGGTGATGTGGAAAATGAATATAGGTAAAATCCAGTGTAAAATCAGAGATAGTTGTTTTGAACTTTTGAAATAAGTACTTCGCAATATAATACTATTGCTAAGAATCATTTATGTGGCCAGAAATATGCCTTATGTTAAAGTTTATTGACTAAGTTTGCAAGGAAGGCATAAATCAAGGAATGCAAATGTAGTCCAGACTTCCTGATAAGAACTTTCATTAGTAGTATATTTTTATTCATAAGATATATAAGTGTTTACTGTTTAATTAAAATCTAAACAATTTCTATTTCTCTTTGCATGGGAAAATCCCTACTTCCATAAGGTTTTTTGATCCCAAGTTGAGTCAAAATGTTCAAAATAAACATTACAGCTAAAATATTTGTGTAGTTTAGTACAAATAACTAACTATCACATAATTTCTTGTATTGCTACATCCCTTTCTTAGGCCTTCTAGGAGTTAAGACTAAATGACAGTCTTTGCTGTCAGTACAAGACTGCAACTGAGTTCTCTTCTCCTACCTGTAATAAAAAATAAAATAATTTAAAAAAAAAAAATGCAACACATAAGAACATAAGCAACATAAGAAAGACTCTCTCAAAATCTCTGTCTTCAGCTTTAAGGGAAGATAGTCAGCAATGGTAACTCAACCAAATAATTTTACAGCTATCTAAACATAGTCAGAAATCAATGCCTCATTGCTTTGGTCCATACTTTCCTGGGTATTCCCCCAAATCACCTTCCCACCAAAAAAACACTACTCAGCTTCTCCTTGTTCTACATTTGCATTCTTAATGTTGCAGAATGATATGTATACAAGATACATGAGCTGAGCGGCTTAACAGAAACTCCAGATCAGGAAGTTTTGGCCTTTATTAAGAGTATGTTCTCAGAGAGACGTAAGCCTGGTTTGGCTTGTCACTTCTGCACGCACTGGCACCTCTGGACGCGGCATTCCAGACAGACGTTTATGTTACCTGCCCCACTAGTTATGTGTACATACAGGCAGGAACAACCCAGAAAGCAAGAACAAACAGTGACCTGAAGGTTCTTCTGAAGGCTATGTGTTTCTGGCAATACATCAAAAAAATCTTCTTAGCAGTCCATATTTCAGATAATAGATAAACCACCTATTTATTCATTCATTTATATGATCTTTGACACAATGCTCTGTATTTTACATTCACCAAGGTTAGGTGGTAAAATTATTCCCAACTGAAAGATTGTTTCAGGCTGAACTGTTGGTAACATTCTTGTCTTTTATGGTTCCTTTTATCTTGTACAGTGTGCATATCTCCTGAAACTTGACTTTAATATTAATCTACATGTGCATCTAATAATTTTTAATTTCAAGGTGTTGGATTTTTTTAAATTATCCTCATCTTCTCACATCAAAGAGAACCATTAAGAAAAGCAAACATTTGTTTTCTCTTTAGAGAGTAAAACTAATTACTTTGAGGTTATTAATACTACCCTGGGTTTCTCATTCACTTCCCAAATAGGGCTACAGGCACTATTTAGCCCTAAGTCAAGCATGCAGATTTTTGTGGACAGAAAAAGCACTCACTCAAAACTTTCAAGATACTGTTTCCTATAAAAATAAAGATTGTCCACGGAAACTGAGCAAGGAGCACTGTTGTTCTTATGACCTCTACTTGAGTTTCTTGTATCGATTTTGCTGTTTTCTTTTAAGTTCATGTCTTCTGAATCACAGTTTCTTCAGATGTATTCTCTTCTAAAACTGCATCAATTTAAAGATTCTTGCAGATGCACAGTCACTATTATAAACTATTCAGTTTATTATTGCCAAGGTTATATTTGCAAGTATTTTGAGCTGTCATTCCTCTCATTTTTACAGATTTTGTTTCTATAGACTCAGTTTTCTCTTTTACTTCAGTTTTCCTCTTGGTGCTCTGGAAGTTACACTACCAAGAGCTGAATCTAGCAAGGAGTCATGGTTTAAGTCCCCTACTTCACAGGCTTTCCCAGGCCTCTTAGTTAATCTCTGAACACTTTTATGTAGCAGAAATCCAGTCTCTTTTCTTTCAGGCAAGGAATAAAGCTGTTCTGTAGGTAGCAGAACTAATGAAGTCCAGTTGTCTGTCAGCACGTTCTGCACAACTAACTCTGCCCACACTTTTGGTACATGCCCTTCAGGACCAGGATGGTAGTACTGGTTGGCAAATTTGGCAACTCCCACATAAGGTAAGAGAGGTCCAAATCCTCTCAGTTTTTCTCCACTGGACACTAGGTGTAATATCTGTCCTCTATCCAGCTGTTAATCTTGCAGAATTAGAGCCCTAATTATCTTTCAATCTCTTATTCCACTTTTCAATCAGGCCAAATTATTTAGGGAAAACACACTCAAACATGCACTGCAAATTCTCACAGAAACCAAACTCAACATAGAGATGTTTTGCTTTAAAGCTCTGTTTTGATCTTCTGGTTTACTTCCCCTCCATAGGCCTGTAATAGCTGAAGCAGCAAGACACAGAATGGTTTCTGAAAGATTTTTCCCCAGCTACTTCTACAAATCAATATCCTCCTTCAAGAACTCAGAAAAGCAAGAGATCATTTTCTCTCTAGTGCTTAACAAAGTATGAGATCTATGGGCAGAGAGTCTTAAAGGACTTGAAGCTTGTCCACTCAATTTCAAAAACCAAGCAGTTTGTATGAATAAATAAGAGTGCACCAAACAACAGCCTTTACCAGCTAACTAAAGATGCCTCATCCTCCCTCAGAGTGTCACCGTGCCCTCCACGTTTCATCAGAATGCCCTGTTATGAACTTCCATTCTATCTTGGGGTTCATACAAACTTTTTTAAAAGGACATTAACTAAAGGAAGATGTTTACAAGAATCACAATTAAAAGGTGAGTGCTACAGGCCCTCATCAGTTAAGAGAACGATGCAGAAGTTTAGATTCTAATCATGTTTCTACATGAAGTTCTTGTGAAAAATGACAAGGCAACACTAACATTTCCTTCAAATACCCCTAAAAGTACAAGAGGAGCTATAACAAGGCATCAGCAGATCTGAGCGAACCTGACCAAACTGGAGAACCTCCCTTCAGCAGCCAGGAAGGAATTTACATCAGAAGGCTCACAAGGATGCTTTCATTCTGTTAACAGCTGCAATGCACTACACAGGTACTTCTGCTCCACAGGGGATCTAATCTAGGCTCTTCTCCTTGAGGTCTGTACAACCTGCATAGTTAAAAGAGAGACATACCAACCAGAAGTCCCACTTGACTTAAAAAAGAGAAACTCTGAACCCCAGCTCTGCCAGGACAGCTGGTGAAAATGCTTCCTAAAACTGAAGGAAAATGTATGAAAAATAACACATGGAAAATAAGAGGAAATTCCTCAGCCCTTCTGCGATTAGTTTCCTACAGCCAAAAAAAAGGACAGTACCAAAAATTTGCTTATGAAGCTGAAGACTGAACTCGTTTATTCCAATTACCTTCCTCCACTCTCTACACACTGCATTTAAGAATAGCTAAGATTGCTGTAGTACTGAGAAGTTTGGTTTAAAACTGGCAAAATAAGCTGTGGATCTCTGATCATTCTCGCAGTCAAACTGTAGTATCATTTGTTCTATTGGACCATACAAGAAAACAAGTTCCAGATTTTGACTGAGGAAGATCCAACTATACAACCTCTGACGTGAAAGTCTTTCTATAGCACTCAGAGAACCATGAATGTCATTCTGCCATTGCTAATTCCAAAAGAATGTCTTTAAACTGATTTAACTCATGATCTACGTAGGGAAAAAAAAATTAAAAAAGAAAGCAACTTTCTTGCCTTCTAAAAATAAATAAACTAGAAAGCAACCCTTCTTTCCTGCTTAGTGGTCAAGAAATCACTGAATACAGCAAATAAATTATGAACTGTTTACTTCATGGGCAACAAGAACAAAGAAATCTTATTATTGTCTGTTGCAGCATGAACAGGCAAAGCTATCTATAAAGTAGCTTCTATCTCTCTCAAAAAGGAGTATTTATTCTCTAGTCTCTAAGGGGACTGTGCCAAAACAAATCCAGAAAAGTGGTTCCTACATATGTTAGCTTCAACGGGGGTTTCTGAATGGCAGGTTCATTGATGCATCATGGGGCAGCGTTTGTGGTTTGAGGGCATATTTTAAGTGAGTAATAGAAAGAAGAGACATTGATTTCTGTTTTGAAAAAGAGTCACTCAAGGCATGCTTTAGAGTCTAACAAAACTTCTGAACAGATGCAAGAGAGAGCAGAATTTCTTTGTAGCACTCCAAAGGAACATTTAACTTCATGAAAAACTAAAAGATAGCTACAGCTTCCAAATAATACAGGAAAACTGTGTGTGCTTTCAGAAGATCAGACGCTCCTTCAAACATTTCTTTCAACATTCAGAAGCTTTCAGCCAAAGGGCATACTTAGGCACAAACACAGAATTCCACAGGCAGAAATCATATCAGTCTTATTGTAAGAATTTATAGTTGGAAAGTAACATAATTTCCATAAGAACCACTTGATCCATGCACACTTGGTGAAGGAGGACAGCTGCAGCTATTTTACCTCAGTGAGAACAGAAGCACAGGCTATCTTCAAACAGGGAAAAAATAAGAAAAAATTAACACTTCTATGCACTGAATCAAACTTCACCTCTCTATATGTACATTTCACCGTTACCTAAAAAAATTAACTATCTTACATGAGGTAGTTGTATGTGATTGTCATCTAGAGACTGATAGTTGTTACTAACAAAGAACTTAAAAAAAAAAAATCAGCATTGCATATAGAAAAAAAAGAAACAGAAGAGGTGAGTAATGTTCTGAGCAAGAGACAGGAACTAGTTACCTGGCCATTCTGCTGTACAAATAAATGTATTTTGCAGTCATCACCACCACAAGCCAGTACTGGTACTAGAAAGAAGAAAAAAGGTTTCATGACTGAAGTTAAAAAATCTAATATTCTAGGATTTTAAAAGTTATGCAAATAGCATAAAAATAAATCTAGGATCAATAAATATATTAATACAGACAGGTAAGTATGATAACACTTTATGTTTTCTAAATTAGAGACCTAGTGTTGTTCGAGATAAGCCAGTATTTCAAGAACACAAAACTCACAAGTTATTTTGGCACATAAATAAAACCTATAAATACTTAAGATGGTGAAAAGCAGTCTCCTTCAAACTCCTGTACCTGTAGGATGTTCAAGCATTCAGGATTTTTAATTAATCATGTTTACGTTAATTATTAGCAACAGGCATTTGCTCCAAATACAAAAAGAGAAAGCAGTAAAACAAAATTCCTTGGCACTAATACAGTTCAAGCCCTAAATGAACTGAACTAAGTACACAGATGGAGGTAGCATAATTACTTCACAGCAAATAAAGAGACAGACAAAAACAAGGCAGACCACCACACGCTGTACACAAGGATATAAAAACAAGTAACATTACTATTCACCTACTCAAGTTTTAAGGAGTGTTCACTGCCACAAGCTATCTAGAAAGTGTGCAAAAAACGCATATCTGTTGAATCAAAGTTATGTCTAAGGGGAAAATAAGAGAAGTTAGGCAGTTTTAGTTTATCTTTCCCACAGAAGATGATGGGGAAAAATAGTTAATCCTTACTCCATGCTTTTTTGGGTCATAATTATGTAGTACTGCTAAGGACTGAAATAGCAAACAAAAAAGGAATTAATTAAACTATGAAGAAGTAAGTTATCAGGACTACACATTTGCATCTCTCAAGTCTGGATAGAGAACAAAATACTAAATTTCACTAAAATCAACTACTTCATTTAAAAAAAAAAATTGTCGTGCCTTTAGAGTTAAAATTATTTTTATTGTTGCTATTAAAAAAACCCACCAAACTGAATACTCATAGTAAATTTATGCTCTGTGCTAATTTCCTCTTTCTGCCTGTACCAAATCTGTGCCTAGATATCTGCTGCTCCTCTCACACTTCTAAGTCACATTCCACATTTACACCTCCACCACATGCTTCTTCTCTCCAACCTCTAAATACCATCTCAACTCTGTCTCCTCCTTTTGGCCTCCTACAGGGCCAAAACCAGACTGCTTTGGACCTGAGGTAGTGAGCTGTTCTGAAAGAAGACCCGGTCTTCAGGTCCGCAGAAACAGGGCAAGAGTGAGAGGTTTTTTTCCCCACAAAATACAATACAATAAATATTCTTGGAGCACGTATCATCTTTTGCCAAGAAATACATTTTATGGGCCTTTGCAGTAATGACAACCTTATTCAATAGAATAGAAGTTCGACTCATCAAAATAAAAGAAGAATTATGATCTAGTTGCTCTATTGGACAAATGCAGAAGCTTTCACTCAAAAGTTCTATTGAGTATTTAACTGGCAAAACCAGACCAGTACATAGTTTTTCACACAACTGCTCTAGTGTATTAAAATCTGGACCTGGTTAAGTCATGCAAACAAAATAGGAAAAAAAGAGTTAGAAACTGTGGTCTAATTGCAATGGGGGCAGTGTGATCACCAAAGCCTCTTCACATTCACCTGCTTTTTCACTTGTTGCAGTTCAGTTCTGAGGAGATAATTTTTGTTTGTCAGAGGCCAAGCTATGGCACCACAGTTACGAGGGTCATAGGAAGAACCACACTATATGACAAAAGAGCTGAGCAAGATCTCCAAAACAGTAAATCCTGTTCCTAGCACTTTAGAAGCAGTTTCTGCAAACACTACAAGGCAAAGAGCAATCAACCAACCAAACCAGTACAAAGCTTTTCTTCAAAACTCAGAAAACAATGAACTCCTTAACTAAGAGGCTGCCAGGTAAGTGCTTAAGCTCTACTCCAGCTGCAAATCGTTGTTCATGTTTTTATGAGTAGCCTATTGGCTTTCTCCATCTGACTTCCTCACAAAAATGTTTCTTAACTTTGTCTTTTCTTAAACCATTTATTTTCAAGGACAACCAGTTAAAATACTAGGCATCATGAACTTCAATGTGTTTTGAAAATTGATTCATATGTAATGGGTGTTTTAATTTGCAATGTGAGCTTTAAATTTCTTTGCTTGGTGAAATTACGAGGTTACTGTAAATACTTCTCGTTTAGGAGAACAATACATGACTTTCAGAAATGCAATTCTGTATTTAAATCCTGACTGCAGATTGTCCACATGAGGTTTCTTTAAATCTTAATACAGCTCCCAACACAGCCTTCAGAAAGATTCCAGAGCAACTCTTCTAACGCTATTATAGATAGTTTTTCCCTTAAGTTAATTAAAATTCCAAATTGCCATTATAGATTAATGTTTCCGATAAAATGAACAGGAGTGAGATTTTTTAATAATATATTTTAAGCTATTTTATTTAGATTTCAGATCTATTCAAATGTGTTCATATTCCTCCGAACGAGAACAGTTCCATTGTATGGACTGTCAGGTTTAGGGAGAAAACACAGAACATGGCCATGATAGATTAAAAGCCCTTTGTAGATTTCTAGGGGAAAGATTTCTAATCATACATTTATGGTTCAAACTTTAAACTGTTTCTTGACAATTTTAGCAGCACAGATCATTAATTTTGAAACTGACATTAAAAACATAAATGCATAGGTTGTCTTTTTAATTTCAATGCAAAACCCACGCAAATAATTTCTCATTTGAAAACAGTTTCAGTTCTTCAGAAAAGTATTCCTTTTCAGTTTGTGAGCACTGTGTTGTTTTGGGCAACTGATTTGAATTGGGATTGGAAGAGGCCATAATAAAGGATTGTCCTGCTCCAAATGCAACTTCAAGCAACATTGGGTTTTAGGGCCCCTGTGAGATTTTCACAGCAAAACAAAATGCTTGCTATTCCACCATTTAAAAGAGCTTCAAGCCCTCCAAGCAATTTTGGTTTCAGAAGCATTTAGTTTTAAGAATTAATATAATAATCTTCATTTAAGGTTTTTCCAAGATGAATGGTTACTTCTCTTACATACATGATTTCAAGGTTAAATAGATGCACTACTCTAGAGTGTTACAGAGAATTTCTTACCTATACAGTATGATAAGTGAAGAAATAATCTATTGTTTTGCAATATAAAATTTATACTCATTGAACTGGTGCTGCAAACACTTCACTTCTAACAAAAATTCACACTGGAGATAATTATTCTAATCTACCCTCAAGCCTTTTTTCTTCATCTCAACAACCAGCTGTTAGTATGTTTACAGGAAAAAATAGAGAGAGGGGTTTAAAGTTCTTTAGTGGTGCAGAAGCTGCTTTTGATATCAGACACACTGGAAACAGGTATTAGCATTTCCAAATGGGACAACACATTTTGATAGTTTTTGTATCTCCCAGAATTATCACAAGCCAAAAAATAAAATAAGCTTCTGTATATGTGCTCTGGAGGCATACAAGCAAGCAACACAATAGCATGGAACAGATGCACCAACCAGCTGAAAATTCTAGATACAGTAAGAAACTGTAGTAATTTTCTTCTTGGGAGCCTGGCACTTCTCCATGCAGGTGAGAGGTTCTAACGGTATGTAAACACAAACCGAACTCAAGGTATGTATAGAGCTTGAGGGTATGTCCAGGCTTTCTCAAAATATGAAGCTCCTACAGGTATGCAACAGAAGAACATGTCTGTGGCAAGCTACAAACCCTGAACATTTTACATCAATAGAAAACTGTACGAACCACACTGAACAGTGAGGTTAAACTTGTTCAGCATCTCAATTTTTTCATATTTAAGACTGAATGGGTGATAAAAGCTACTCACTAATTTGCAATTTTTGATGCAGGCTTGCAGATTCTTTTTCTGAATTTTGCCCTTCAATCCAATCAACAAGAACAAACATACACAGCAGCATCACAAGGAATGGGAGAAACTAAGAGCATCATCTTAGCCCGCGCACAGCCCTGTTGCCCCCATCTTAAGCATTCTGTCTCAGGAGTTCAACTAAAGAACTCCATCTGAGCATCATTTTGAAGACACACTAATCAGCCAGTGTTTTTCTAATTGCTAAGAACAGTTCAGTGAAACTCCAGATATAAGCAGCAGCTCAGGTTGATTCCATAAAAACCAAAAAATACAGCACAAGGGTCTGGAGTTGGTCAAATGAAAATTTATTCAGGGGATTTCTTAGCTTTTACGTTTCCTGCATTGATATTCAAGATGTGCAGCTGTACTTACCATTGCTGCCAGGCAAGAAGGATAAGCAGACATCCATAACAAATCCATTTCCAAACTGCAGAATTTCAACGCATTTAGCTGGAAAACAAAACCAGACAGCACTGCTCTTATTCATCCTAAGCATCACAGTCACACTGTCATTGCCTACTACATTATGTAGCTAAAATTTCCCATTCAATTTTAGTTTAAGGAGCTTAAAAATGTCTACTTTTTTTCAGAAGCCTAAATAATAATGTTATCTTCTGTGGGGCCACACAAATTAATCCAGAGTTGGCTGAGTTAGAAGATAAGTCACTGTCCTCCACTGAGTATTAAAGTTGTGCAGCTTCACTGTGGTAACACATCAAAAGCTATAAATATTGCAAATTATATCCTGTGGCAACAGCATTCACTGCACAGGAAGCTAAAACTGAACCAATTTCTTACAAGGGCAAGATGAGTAAAAAAAAAAAAGAAAAATCAGCCTTCCTGCAAACACTCCCAAGATCCTAGAAGTGGTTAAACTGGTAAACTAGTAAGATCAAACAGGGTAGGTGAAAAACCCTCTCTACAGAAGCAGAATTGGTCCTTCCACCACTGGAACCCAGAACACCAAGACAAAAAAGAAAGGACAGGACTTTGTGGTGTTCTTTTAGGAGCATGAGAAATGCCTTCCAGAACATGGGACTGAAGATGGGCTACTCCCACCTATTTCTCTCATGTGGGCAGGGCAAGGCAAAATACTCAAGTACACCAGGTAAGGAAGAAAATAGCTTGAGAGATGCAGCCAGTACAACTCAAATGGTAAATAATACTTTAAACCTAGAATACCCACACTATATTTCTTACATATTTCAAAGGGCTGTTCTTCCATGTGTCCACATAAGGGCCTAGTTCACCAGAAGGTCAAGATCCTATTATCCCACCCTTCATTGGACTGAAGCCAATACTAACAAAAAAGTGAGTAGTTTAACCTCACCCTTCTAATGCCAGCATCAATCATTTTACTAAGTAATTTTACTTCGCACACCCCCCTAGTGTGCTCCCACATTACAGGGCAAAATGATGGTTCAGATTATGAAAAGAACCACAGCCAGCAGCTCAAGGGAGGTGATTCTGCCCCTCTGACCTGCTCTGGTGTGACCCCAACTGCATCCAGCTCTGGAGTTCCAAGCGCAAGAAGGACACGGACCTTTGGAGCAGGTCCAGACGAGCACCACAAAAATGATCAGAGGGCTGGAGCACCTCTCCTGTGAGAACAGGCTGAGAGAGTTGGGCTTGTTTGGCCTGGAGAAGAGAAGGCTCTGGGGAGACCTTACTACAGCCTTTCAGCATATGACCGGGGCCTACAAGAAAGCTGGGGAGGGACGTTTCACAAGGGCTTGTAGTGATAGGACATGGGGTAATGGCTTCAAAGGGGAAGAGTGTAGATTTACATTAGATGTAAGGAAGTTCTTCACCATGATGGTGGCTAGACACTGGCACAGGTTTCCCATAGAAGCCGTGGATGTTCCATACTTGGATGTGCTCAAGATCAGGTTGTATGGGGCCCTGCACCCTATGGGGTCTAATGGGAGGGTACTGGATGATCTTTAAGGTGCCTTCCAACCCCAGCTATTCTATGATTATCGTTCTGAATACATATTAAAAAGAAAAAAGTAAATTCAGCCAACACATCACTGATTAAAAACATAGAAAAATCACTCTCTGCAGAAGAAAAACTGACCCAAAGCAGTTGAACTAGTATAGCCCTCAGCTTGCGAAGAGCAATATAGTGGTTTGATATATCAAAGTTCAAAGATAAATCCATGTAGTTGCATTACATATGTCAACATTTAGCAAAGTACTTCAATGGATAAGCATTAATCACTTTCATTAAGCCAGTATGTAGTCCCCAGTGTTAAAAAAGTTACCTTCTGAGCCATGCCGAGACCAGATTCTCACAGTGGAGTCAGAAGCTGCAGAAGCTATTAGCAGATTTAAATCAGGTTCATCTGACTGGTAGACAGCATCCACAGCACAAACAGCATCATCATGGCCTTTGAGAGGAATGCTTCCCACAAGCTGATCACACCAGAAAGTTTTCCAAAGTTAGACAAACAAATAAAATTAATTCTCCTAACTTATCTGAGAGAATTTTTAAAGCCATTTGAAGAACCAAAATAACTTAATACTGAAAACAAGGTGTACACCTTCAATAGCAGAGCATCTGCCAAGCTATGCCTAGGTTACAGCATATTCCAGGAAAACAGAGAGGACGTCGCAGTAATGACCATTAATTTGGTAAGATTTTGTTCAAAGCTGAACAGAATTAAATCCTCCTGTGTATACTATACAAACCTCACCATTCCTTGAGGAAAGCTGGAGGTAGCAGAGAAGTTAGGAAAAGTAGTTTTCCTTCCTTCCTTCTCCTTCTCTTGCCTTAAGAACGTCTTGCCTAAGGAACATCTCATAAAACTTTGGAGAACCTCAGTGAAGGAGACAGAGCAGAGAGCACAATGGAATAAGTAGCAGCTACAGCAATTCTAGCAGCAAAGTTCAGTGTGTTCTCACACACTAAAACACCTTTTTACTCCTTGAAAACACCAACATCCCAAAATCTCTCCATTCAGACTTAAGTACCTACTTTCTTAATGAATGAATACCAGTGATTCAGTTTGTAATCTGTTCCTCATAAACACAAAGCGCAAAACAAGCAGCTTTTAATGATGCAACCAGAAACCATCTAGCATTTATCCAAATTTTGTCAGAAACACCTCTGACATTTCTTTCAAAAATATAGTTTGGTAGGCCCCAGTAAGAATTTTTGACTGATGTGATACAGAACTTTGTTTTCAAGAATTTACACTAGTTAGAACTGTCATTAAAGTGTGCACATTTAGCCATATTCTTTTGCCATAAGGCTATGCACCACGTCATTGGAAAAGGTTAGTAAAGAAATATCTAAATTATTTTAAATAAATACATAGTATTTTAAAAAGACAAGTAAGTATGTATTAATTTAAATAGCTGACATTAGATCAGGATCAGAAATTATTTATTTCTAAGAATATTCCCCCCATCAACCTAGATGCACTGCCCTCTAGAATGCCTGCTCATGGATTTTAAAATGGCAACTCTAATCTGGTTTGAGAAAGCCCATGAGATGGGTTACCTACACAGCCACTCAAAAACCAATACCTAAAGAGTAAGATTTTAAAAGTTAGATAAAAAGTTAAAGATTGGAGTCTGAATTTCAGTTCATTCTGAAAGCTCTTTTATACCATACTCCCTTTTTTCACCTCACATTTTACAGTATGGATAGTAAATTAACAATCTGAAGGAGACATACACAGGGTTCAATAGTCAAGGCAGAACGAAGTAATACTAAGAAGAGTAAGAAATACAGACAAAACAGATAATTTGTGGTATATGAGAAAATGGGGTGGACCTTTAAGAAGAGGTTATTCCTGCTTACCTGATTGTTCCACGTTCCAGTTCCATTCAGTTCCCAAAGAATGACTTGTTTATCGGATCCACCAGAAATTAACTCTGTTTCAGAAGCTAAAAAATAGGTTTTGGTAAGTTTTGCAAACATTTACTTTGTAACAGCAGTCAACAACATAATCAGTTACAGTGGTTACTACTCACAAAATATGGTGTATCGACTGTAAGCAAAGCTTCCATCACAATAAAATGTGTCAACGGACACCTTAAGAGCAAAGGTATTCTCTAAGACAACATGAGAAGTCACAGGAATATTTAAAGTTCTATATGAAGGTGATAAATATATCTTTCAAAAAAGATTCTCAAACTCAACAGTGTAATTTTTTTGTCTGCTTGTTCTTTTTGGGGTTTAGGAAAATAAAGCAAGAGAAATATAATCAAAACAGAAATAAAAGCTTCACATGAAAATTTAATTCCCAAGTTCCCTGAAAATAATGTCTTTTAATAAATTTTCAGAAGAAAATTTATTTAGTGCAACCAGTTGAAAGGACAGCAGTTTATACTGCAATTAAAAAGAAACATTTTCACCGCAGTACTTCCCCTGCTCCCCCAAGAAGCAGCAGGCACATTTTATATTAACAGTCTAATCAACAGCCCCATTTCAATTTGTCAGTGAGTTTCTAGAAATGCCTACGGGCAAGAATATGCACCTTTAAATGTCTGCACTAAGCAACTTTAAATCCTGGAATTTTTAATTTTAATTTTAATCCTGGAATCAAGCAAAAGACTCATAAGAGTCTCAAACATTTCCATCTTTAATGATTTGTTCGTGGCTATGACTTCTGTGTAACTCCAGAGTTATTGAAAGGCACTGCAAATTAGTTTACAAAGTCGAAACGTGCAAAATTCTGAACCCGTACTAAAGAGGCTGGTGACAGCACAGGGATCACAGCTGCAGACACGCCAGAGCCACCACATCTCCAGGCAAAGCTGCCTCCAGGGCTGGAGAAAACCCCAGAGAAAATGGCACAACCAGACCACAGAATCATAGATTCATTAAGGTTGGAAAAGACCTCTGAGATCATCAAGTGTGAACATCAACCCAACACTACCATGACCACTAAACTATGTCTTGAAGTACCACATCCACACGTTTTTTCAACACCTCCAGGGATGGTGACTGCACCACTTCCAATGCTTCACCACTCCTGCAGGAATAAAAATCTTCCAAATATCCAGTCTAAACCTCCACTGATGCAATTTCAGCCCACTTCCTCTTGTTCTACCACTAGTTACTTGGGAAAAGAGACCCACTTCACTACAACCTTCGCTCAGGTAGTTGTAGAGAGGAAGATCTTCCCTCAGCCTCCTCTTCTCCCATCTAAACAATCCCAGTTCCCTCAGCTGCTCCTCATAAGACATGTTCCCCACTTTCATATCCCACTCCAGACCCGCTCCAGCACCTCAATGTCTTTCTTACACTGTGATGCTCCAAACTGAACCCAGTGCTCAAGCTGTGGCCTCACCAGTGCTGAGCAAAGCGCATGATCACTTCCCTGCTCCTGCTGG